CAAATGCTGAATGCTGTATTTGCTTTTTGCTTTTTTTTTTTTTTCCATAAAAGTGTGAATCCTCTTTGGATTTATTTTGGTTAGCAAAAACAGGTACTAATATAGGTCTTTCATAAAAGTGAAATGGCATAACAGGAACTTTTGAAAATCAGGAGATACCTGTACTCTGTAAACCAGTGCTGTCTGATAGTACTTTTCTGCGAAGATGAAAATGCTCGGTGTAATATAGCAGTTGCATAGCTATTGAGCACTTGAAAAATGGTTAGTGCTACTAAGGAACTGAATGTCTAATTTTAATTTAATTTTTTAAAGAGTGTTTTTAAAAAAAATGTTTATTATTTTTCAGAGAGAGCACGAGCAGGGGAAGGGGAGAGACAGAGAGGGAGACAGAGAATCCCAACAGGCTCTGAGCTATCAACCATAGAGCCTGGTGTGGGGCTTGAACCCAGAAACTGTGAGATCATGATCTGAGCTGAAATCAAGAGTCAGATGCTTAACTGACTGAGCCATCCAGGGGTCCCAGATTTTAATTTAATTTTTAAAAGCTCTATGTGTAGCTAATGGCTGCAGAATTGGACGGTGCACCTCTAACCAAAAAGTGGTGGTATAAATAAATATCCCAGTTACTAGAGTTTAAACACTTGGTAGTCTGTAAAGGGTATTATTCAGCATGTTGGGGATGCCAGTTAATCCTATATTTCAGGTAATTATCAGTTTACATTCCGCTTAGCTTGTTCTAAGATGCATGGCATGAGGTAGTACATGGGGAAGCCATTGTGGCACTAAAAGGAAGAGGAGCTAGAAGAAAATGTGTCATCCAGTTGGCGGCTAATTGAAATCTAGATGGAGCACAGATTTCTCCTTTGTAGACAAATAAAAATACCACTGCAGTGGGAATAGCCAAACAGCCTTTTCTTTCTCCATTTTCTTATGGAACTGATGACTTTTTCAGAACAGGTACCTTTTTTCATTGCTTTTCATAGAAGTTCTTTATCAGTTTCAGCTTGCAATTGTATCTGTCATATTTCTGGTGGGAAGGTCTGTATTGGAAGAATATTTAAAAGAACTCTTTCTGGAGAATTTGGGGCTGGGAAGTGCCAGATAATCTTTTACTGCATTAAGTCAGCTTTAAACACTCATTTTCTCTACTTTAAAATTACTGTCCTTCATTTTGAGGTAAGGGAAACAAAAACAAAAATAAATTATTGAAACTACATCAAAGTAAAAAACTTCTGCCCAGCAAAGGAAACCAATGAAACTAAAAGACAGCCTACTGAGTGGGAAAAGATACTTGTGAATGATATAACCAATAAGGAGTTATCCAAAATATATAAAGAATTTATACAACTCACTGCTTACAGGGCAGAATAAATGTCTTTTGGGTTAGGGCAGTATAAAGAAAATTAAAAAATTTATACAACTCAATACCAAAAAACACTGAATAATCCAGTTAATAAATAGGCAGAAGACCTGAACACATATTTCTCCAAAGAAGACATACAAATTGCCAACAGACACATGAAAAGATGCTCAGCATCACCAATCATCACGGAAATGCAAATCAAAACCACAGTGAGATATCACCTCATACCTGTCAGAATGACTAAAATCAAAAACACAAGAAACAGCAAGTGTTGGTGAGGTTGTAAAGGGAAAGGAGTCCTCAAGCACTATTGGTGGGAATGCAAATTGGTGTGGCCGCTATGAAAAACAGTATGGAGGTTCCTGAAAAATTAAAAATAGAAGTAATGTGATCCAGTAATCACACTACTGGGTATTTACCCAAAGAATAAGAAAACACTAATTCAAAAGGATATATGCACCCCCATGTTTATTGCAGTATTATTTACAATAGCCAAGATATGGAAGCAACCCAAGTATCTAAGGAAGGTGTGTGTGTGTGTGTGTGTGTGTGTGTGTGTGTGTGTGTGTGTATGTATATAATTGTTGAATGACTATATTGTACACCTGAAGCTAATATAATACTATGTTAACTATACTGGAATTAAAAAATAGAGGGGTGCCTGGGTGGCTCAGTCGGTTAAGTGACTTCAGCTCAGGTCATGATCTCACAGTTCATGAGTTTGAGCCTGGCATCAGGCTCTCCACTATTAGTACAGAGCCTGCTTTGTTTTGTTTTGTTTCTCTTAAAATGTTTTAATGTTTATTTACATTTGACAGAGAGAGCATGAGCAGGGGAGGGGCAGAGAGAGGGAGACACAGAATCTAAAGCAGGCTCTAGGCTCTGACCCGTCAGCACAGAGCCCAATGCAGAGCTCAAATTCATAAACCGTAAGATCATGACCTGAGCTGAAGTTGAATGCTCAACCGACTGAGCCACCTAGGTGCCCCAGTGCAGAGACCACTTTGAACCCCCATCTTTCCCTCTCTCTCTGCCCCTCCCCAGCTCATATTCTCTCTTTCTCAAAAATAAACATTAACAAAAATTTTTAATTAAATAAATAAATTTAATTTAAAATACCAAAAAGAATAAAATTGCTCTCCTTCAAACCATGGAATCTTTTCTGTAAGTCACTATTTAATCCAAAAGAATTAATAATATTTTTAGCCTTGAGGGCCATCTTTGAATAAAGTAACACCTATATCTATTATCAGCAGACGAGTATAGTCATAATTTGGAGTCATTTGACCTGATTACTGGGTTTCATTTTTTCCCACTTCTTCTGTATTTTCTTTATGATTTTAGGTCTTTTCTCATAATTTTTGCTTCAGTTTTTTTTTTCCTATAAAACCAGAAATGGTAATAACTGTATTTGTCTTTTTCCTGAAGAGGAAACAGTGAGTATTTATTAAGTATGTCACACTCTTTTGATTAAATATATTCTAGAGAGGCAACAGTGGTTAAAAAAAAAAAAAAAAAAGACTCAATCTTTGTAAGCTTCTGATTTCTCATGTGTTAAACTGGAATAATAATAATACTTCATTCATGTAGTAGTTGTGAAGGCTAAATAAGATAATGAAGGTAAAGCACTTAGCATAGCTTCTGATATTTATTAAGTACTCAATAAATGTTTATTACCACTACTGATATTGCTACTGTTGGTCTGGTGGATTCTATTGGCTTATCCAAAACTTAATTTTTAAAAGTGAGGTTTTTCCAATACTCCCATTTAGGAAGTTTTTATACATGGTCTCTTGAGACCTTTATGTATTATGTATTATCTATTTTTATTCTTCCATTTTCACAATTAGAACTTTGTTCTTGTCTGTTAAAAATGTTTATGTTCAATAGAACCTGTTTTCAGATAATTAGTCATTTTAATGGGTAAATTTTTAAGAATTTATCAGAAAAGTTTTCATTACCTAAATATGTTTTTCTTTAAGTTGTATTCAGAATAGTAAAGTCACAGGACTATTTGATAATTTGGGGGAGAGACTCACCTAATTTTCTCACCTTTTGTAGGTACTTTTAACTAATCAGATGACAACAAAAATTGATAGAAATCAGGCCTTGCTGGTTCCTGCATTGGGTGGGTAATTAATCAGATAAGATTTTTTAATTTTTTAAAGTTTATTTATTTATTTTGAGAGAGAAAGAGTGTGTGTGAGTAGGGGAGGGCCAGAGAGAGAATCCCAAGCAGGCTTCACTCAGTGCAGAGTCTGACATGGGGCTCAGCCTTAAGAACTGTGAGATCGTGACCTGAGCCAAAATCAAGAGTCAGATACTTAACCAACTAAACCACCCAGGCACCCCGCATTTTTAATTTAACACAGTTTTTTCTACCTCTTTCATTTGATGCTTGTTGAGTACTGTAGGTTCCATGAAAGCAGAGATTGTATCTGTCTTCCTCACTGACAAGTGAGCATGGAGCACAGTGTCCTTAGACACTGACTCATCCTTTCAGTTATTTAACAAACATTTATTGAGCATCTACTATTCGGCAACCATTGTGTCAGGTACTGTGCATATCAGTATTCATAAGATGACTCTTGCCCTCAGAAAGTCTTAGGCAGTAAGAAGGGTAAATCCATTTAAATACTGATCACACTACTGTGAATAGACTTATGATTTTTCCTAACCTCAGTCATGGTTTTGTTAGGACACAGTGTTTCGAGATTGTTTTGTACTAAATTCTTTAAGAATATTCTGTCCGAGTTTTTGCTTTTCTTCTGATAGCCGGAAATATGTTAGTAAGTGTGATAAGGAAGATTGACAAATATGTTGACTCAAACTATAAAGTTTTTTGAAAGCAAATAAAGGATAATGATCTGCAGTATTTCCATAGATAGGTAAAAATCTATTAATCTCAAGTTGCCACCCATATACAAGGGATTTTGAAAGTGTAAGTATATTCTTGTGTTAAATTAGGTAAAATAAAACTGTTTTGGTCAGAGGCATTCTGAAAGACTTCTAACCTTGTCAGTAAGGTAATATACAGTTGTTCTGTTCTTGTTCCCACTAGGGGAAAGCTGGGGACATGCTGCTACAATACGGCTAATCTTTCATTGGGACCAAAATCAAAGGTCAGTATAGAAACAAGTTAATAATTTTGAATATTGGGTTAATTACACGAACAGTTATGTTTTCTTAGATCTACTCCAGTGGATGAAATCTACAGTGCCCCCATGAACTAAAGCTTTTGTTGCCTTGTTCTCTATCACCTAGAGAAATCATAGAAACATATTGTTAAACTACACATTTAGCTAACATAGGAAATGCTTTGGAATATTTAAATGATGGGGTGCACCTGAAATGAGTAGGTGGCCAAGGAATGCTACCTTCTAAAGCTCTTTGAAACCAAGTGCCATTTATTAGTCTTGCAGAAGGAGGTGGGTACTCTCTGTTCCTAGAAGGGATTGAAAGAAGAATAAAACCAGGACAAAAGGAAAACTTTGAGGTTAGCTTTAGGCCAATTTATGTGGAAAATAGGATGGTTTTTCTTAGTTGCTTAATATATTTTGGGTATGAAATTGTGTTTATTTTTGTTTTCTTTTGTATTTTGCTATCCTACTTTTGTTATCCAGTTACTTACCTGCCTTTCACAAGTATTGTTCTTTAAAATAAAACTATGGCAGCGTGAAACCTTTGTATTTGTTTTTAAAGCTGCTGAGCAAGTGAACAAACCAGCTTTCATTTTCTTTAAAATAGGCAAATGAAAGCTGTGGAGTCTTTTATTATACACTTCTAGAAATGTCAGATTTATGCAGCTTCTCTGCTTTGAGATTAATTGGTATAACTGAGAGAACTTCGTTTGGAAGTGCTCTAATGAATGGGGGGAGAGTGAGACAGCAGGTGGGCAAAGATGAAAAAAAAGAGTTGCTTAAATATAAATCAGGTCTGGTCAGTGATATTGTCTAGTTCTTTATCTACATTTCTCTGTTCTCCAAACTGAAAAAAATCATGCCTGACCAAAATTAGGTTTTACTTAACTCTGAACTCATAGCAGAATTTATTACTTTTATATACATCTTTTGAAACTAATTCACATGGTTTGTGTCCCTTTTAAAAATGGCATTTCCAAAGAGCTCAGGTAACTCTCCTCCCCCCCTCATCCCCCATAATACATAGTGCTTTACAATTAACTTCCATCCCCCAGTTCTGTAAATAAGTCATTGTATTCTGGATCACAAAAGGAATTCTTTCCTTGGCAACAAACTCTATTGTAAACATTTGGCAACAGTTCTGCAGATGAGAATCTTATGAACATATTACTTGTATTTTCTCAGATTTAGGTGTTCTGTAAAGTACATCCCACTGTTAAATGTTTTTAGGAATTCCCATTTTAAATGGCCACTTTTATTCTACTATTAAATATTCACTAATAGAATACATCTAAAAAATAAAAATAATACAAGCAAAGCAAGATGTTTCAGTCTTTTTGTTTGGGGTCTTTTTGTTTTTTAAGATGCTCCATCTTTTTTTTTTTCTTTAATGTTTATTTATTTTTGAGAGAGAGAGCAGAGGAGGGGCAAAAAGAGAGAGAGACACAGGATCCAAAGCAGGCTCCGGCCCAACACGGGGCTCAAACTCACTGTGAGATAATGACCTGAGCTGAAGTCGGATGCTTAACTGGCTGAGACACCCAGGTGCCCCAAAGATGTTTCCTCTTTTAATGCACTCATTGGAAGGAGATGTTTGCCTTCTTTGTCAGATTGTAGAAGTTAGCATTGGTTAGGTACCCATGAGATCAGAAGATTATGCTTACTTTTTAGGAGTTAGCCATTTTATGACTTCCAGCTTCTTACTGATCCTTTCCAAGAAATTGGAGAATGGTGTAGAACACTTGACAATGAATTAGATGGATTTAGGGGAAATCTGTTCCATAAGTTTTTTCTATATCCCAGACTATTATTTTAGTGACTACTTGCTGATACTAGGTATTTAACTGGGCAGTTTTTGTATACAACATTTCCTTCAATAATCCCTTCGATAATTTTTTGAGGGATCTATACTTACATAGAAGTGAGAATACCAAGGCTGCCCAGAAAGATTAATTAAGTAGTAAATAATAGCTACCACTTATTGAATATTTATTAACTATCCTTTACTAAGCATTATGTGTATGTATATATAATACTTCATTTTATTTTCCAAATAACTCTATGAAATAAGTAGTAGTATCCAAAGTTTATAGCTGACTCTATAATAGTCTCTTTTCCTATAATTGCTGTTTCTAGAATGTAATTATAGTATTGTGTTGATTGCCAGCAAATCTGAAAGTATAGCTCTTATCTTCCTTTTTAGATAAAATCCTTTTTCTCCCAACTGTTTTTTTCTCCCCAGCTAGATATATATGTAAGTAATTTGCATACTCTATTATGATCAGAATAAGTTGACCTCATTTAGTAGAATTAAAATAGTTTTGTTCTTCATTGTTTAAAACCAGTTATCTTTAAGTCATTAAAGTTGCATGAAGTCTTGTATGTGTTTTAACATTTAGTTTATCTTGAAAGGATGAAAATAGAAATTCACACTGGGGAAAAATAGTTATAAAAATGAACACTTCCAGTTAGAGTAGAAAACTAAAAACCTTGACTAGCCAAATTTATATTGAGAATTGAACTTAAGTGTCCTATCTTATGCTTCAGTCCCCATCTTTTAACCAGAAACCCCTTTTACCCTCTAACAATGAAATAACATTCCAACAGTTATTCAAATAAATACTTTTATCTCTGTCCTGTATATTGTGTGGGATTTCCTCCAAATTTCATATTCATGATAATATGAGGCTGAGATTTTTCAGAATTATATCACTTTTTGCCAGAAAGATCTGGTGGTAGAGTGGAGTAATACATCAACACCCCCACATAGTGTTTCATATGTGTGCTCAGCTTTAGAGCACAAATTGTGCTTCTGTCTTATTTCTTCCTGACCCAAACTGTGTAGTTCAGCCATATGTTAAGCTTCATCTTAGCTGGGGCCATGAGCCAAGTGATTCTTTGGTTTAGTTTGTTGTTTAAAAAGATCTCTTGAGATGCAGATATGAAATATAAAATTTTATTTTTACCTAGAAATTAGAGGAAAATTTTCACCCTGAATATTTAATGCCTACTTGACTTTAGGATTTTTAATAAACATGTAAATGCTTCTGAAAAGCTCATTTACTTTTTAATAATTTTCTCAGAAAATTCAGATGTATTGGGTATCTTTTTGGACATATTGTGATATGACGTGATTTAGATAATTTTTCAGAAGGTTAGCTAATTTTTATTGAATCAAAAAGAATGATTTTTTAACAAGACAGGTTAAAATACACCATACCTCTCTTTTTATATATATATATATATACACACACACACACACACACACGTATGTATATATACATGTACATGTACATGTACATGTGTGCACACATATGTATATATATACATATACTTAAAAAATATACATATACTTAAAAAAATAAAAATAAAAGTAAAAAGTATACTTATATATACTTTTATACTTATAAAGTAAAAAGTATATATACATATACTTAAAAAAATAAAAATAAAAGTAAAAAAAATACATATATATATAGACACATATATGAACACACACATATGTATATGTGTATACATATATATGTATATACATATATGTATATACATATGTGTGTGTTCATATATGTGTCTATATATATATGTTTTTTTTTTTTTTTT